ATCACATTTGTATCACAAACTGACTAGTTGACGTTACACACCACGGCAGTGACACGAGGGAGGATAACTGTTTGGTCTCCAGAAGAGCACAAAAGAAAAGATTTAAATGCCTTGGATACCGGTAAAAGAGAATCTCGAGCAAATACATAAAATATTTAAAAACTGGACATTGATCATGTGAAGAGCCATATGAGGCGAAATGGATGCGTCATGTGTCCTTGAATGACATACAATAACAACACTATAGACTGACTGGATCGGAGCCAGGAACCATAAGATAGAAGCAAGAATTCTACCCCTAGGCCCAAAGAGAAATTGTATATTGGATTCCTACTTGCTAGAGAGTCATAAAGAAAGAGAGAGTCCGCATTATGTCCCGAGAAATGTGTACAATGATCAATTCGCGTGACAATAGCCTACTACGCTCTATTCGCATAGAGAAATTGGTTACGTAGATATTTGAGTGTAGATTTTTCAGAATTGAGGAACTAACATGTTGTTATTCGAAGGTCAGATTAGAGGTTTTTGAATTTTGAATATCTTATCTAGTTAAGATGTTATCATGATCTTCATTAACATTAGACAATCAAGCTTTAATTTGTTATGAATGAGTCAAATGCATTTATAAATTAGAAGACCTGCTGGGGTGTTCAGAATCGAAGATGAGTTCATGTGTATGTTCTCTATTGCAATTGCCTTGCTCTTCCTCGCCCGTCAACCATTCATTGACTGCTGTGAGTTGTGCATTCTCGACCAGCCTTTATGCTATGCTTTGTTGGGCGTAAGCTTACTAAGTGTCTTTAGGTTCAGCATTAACTCACCATTGGCTTCCCTTTATGTTTTTTTCCAAATTGAATTTCGAGTTCGTAATTGCTTAATATTAACGTCAATCTTTTTCTTTTTTTCTTGTCGTTGTCTTCTATCTTTCCTTCGCTACGAAGATTAGTGAATTAGAAAACTTTATTAATTTTTTGCAGACGTAATGTCTAACGATTTAAGTTTTGGTGATGATGGAATGAGGGATGAACCAACTTCTCTCGGATTCACGGTTCGTTGTTGTTCTGTTTTTCTTTAATTTCCGCTCTTGATTCCAGAAGGAGTTGATGGATGAAATTAATGAGCAGAAAGTAGCTAATCCAGGTTTTTATGCCAAACATTCCTCCTTCATTGCGCTCATTTAGGGATGTTTGTGTCTGCTTGGCAAGAAGACGAAATGGGCATCGAAAAGCAGCATAAGGATGGTTGGTTAGATCTTGAGACCCAACATGATCTTTGTTATTTTGAGAGCCTTTGGAGGACTTCTTAACTGCTGCGGAGGAAGGAGACTTAGAGAAAGTAGCTAGCTTTCTCAAACTGAATCCCACCATGATCAACGTTCGTTGCTATTAACTATTCTCATCCCATATAATTATGATTCAGGCATTTGATGAAGATGGCTACACTGCTCTTCATAGAGCAGCTTATAACAATCATATCCCAGTAATTGATTTCCTGTTGAAGCAAGGTGCTGATGCGGAAGCTCGGTATTAAATTTATTAATTTTTATTTATGTAATAACTTTTTCAGTACAAATGATGGATGGACTCCGCTGTTATCAGCAGCGAATTGGGCCAACTTTGAAGTGATTGGATGCCTGTTAAGTCACGGAGTTGATCCCAATGCTCTGTCTCATGGCCGTGTTTCGGTAATCCCTTTCAAAATATATTGTTTATCGATCTGTTATTAGGCTCTTCATTTGGCGATCCAGAGTAAGAATGAAATTGAAGACTGCATTATTCAGTCTGTACGTTATCTATTACAAGCTCCAGGTATGGACAATTAAAATGCAACACTAAAAATCCAGTTTAGGAATCATCCCTGACGTAGTTAGTGGTTCTGGCGACAAGCCAATAGATTTAGCTCATCGTAGTAGTCGTATCATCTATGAAATGCTCAATAACTTCATAAACGGGCCTCTATAAAAAGATCTGCTATTGATTTCGTTCTCCGGTTGTTACATATCCTCTCCTATCATGAAAGAGAATTGCAATTACGGTTTAATCTCAAGGATGTGGTGCAAGACATATTTATTTGTGATAAGAAAGTAAAACAGCTCTTAGTTATGATTCATCTTCGCATCAGCTCGTTCATTCGATTTTCCTACCTCAACGTTTCTATTTGAACAGATGTTTTATTTATTTTTAGCTTCACTTATATGTTGAAACATGGAGTTACACTTGGTAAGCCACTTAAACACATATTTCTTCAAGTTTTTCCTCTTTGCAGGTTAACCGGAAGCTCTCGCAAATTGGAGAATGGATTGCCCTTTGGGGAGGATGTATCTTTGTGGTGAGATCCCTATCCATCTACCCAATCTTCACGTTGTTTTTAGTTTGTTATGATATTCTTATGTTATGCTGCTGCAGTGTTCGAAGCTTGTCCAGCTAATGGTCATGACTGTGATACTGTCTTCTGGTTAGGCAACTTTTGCGTCGGACAGATTCTTCTTAGTTTAGCTCTGTTTCAATACTTCTCGCGGTGAGTCTCTTAGTTGGAGAATGGTTTATTCATGAGTAACATAGGTTTAACTGCGTTTCACATTGGCAACGGCAGTCCTGTGTAGCTGACTTGTGTCGTCATATAAATGAATTAGAAGAAGGTACAATATCTTTAGAAATCTTAATAATGAACATGATCTTAGAACATTCGGAAAAAGTGTTCGGAGATCGCGGCAAGTATTGCATTGATTGTAATCGGGAAGCTCCTCTAAGGTATTCGGGAATTTGTTTCGTCTTTTCACTTTCAACATTTCCAGGAGTCACCATTGTCCTCTGTGCAAGATTTGTGTATTACGGAAAGATCATCACTGCTTTGTTACGGGTAAATGTGTTGGTTTAGGAAATCAAGTGAGCAACATGCTTCACAATCATGTTTAATGAATGATGTTACAGAGATTCTTCATGACCTTTCTGTTTTGGTGTGTTCTTGGACTATCGTACTGTCTATACGAGTTGACCTTATATATTAGTAGCATTAATGATGACTTGTTAGTTCCTGTTTCAATCTTTAGCTTACGGCGGTGTTTAGATTACCATTTGGCTTCGTAAAGTTGATTGGCCCTTTTGCGATCGCAAGATGGATGCTGTCATATACGAGTTTATTTGACGCTGCTATGTGTTCTCTTTATACCTTTGCTTGGGCTAGTCTAGTAGCGGCCGGTGGATTCTTAGGATTGCAGGTTGGAATTTCTCTTTTTTCTCTTCCTTTTCCGTGTTACCCTTGTTAGCTGACAAGGTAATTGAGAGAACAACCGCTTTGTGACTCTGCTTTTTGAGAATGAAGCATTGATTTCAATTCGCGCGCGAAATGTGGTGAAATGCTCTCATCCTGATTCAAGTTGTTTTCGTTTCAGATCTATTACACATGTTATGGCTACACAATGTATGAATATCATTCTGTTACTATGCGTGAAGCATTCGATGGAGACGGGTTGGTTACTTGTTTCACGTGATCGCTTTTCAGAGGTTGCTTTCAGGGTATCCATATCAGAACGATTTCGATTAGTATTCGGGAAGAATTACTTGCTAAACTTCTTCTTTCCCATGTTTTGGGAGAAACCACTGTTAACTCCAGAAATAGCTAATAATTTGTTTCGCGTGAGAAGTAAACTTCTCTAGTTTCAATTGTTTACTTTTCTGTCACTTCATGTAAATACTGGCACATCCAAACTGAAGAATTCAACCGCGCGAGTTATCTCTCTGATGCTATAACTGCTCTCTCTCTCACCTTCTACTCTCTTTCTCTGAACTTTCATGACTTGTGCAATACGATGATATCTTACTCATTTCTACTTTTAAAGTTTTGAACTTGCTTTACCCTTTTAACACTCTCGTCCAATTTGCGGGTCTCAATAAAGATTTAATCTAGTAACTACTGATTTGTCATGAACGTATCACGCGTTTCTCAATATTTGATTGTTTGTTTTTCGCTTTGTTCATTCTTCCATTCTTCTTCATATATCTGAAGGCTAAGACAGATTTTATTAACACATCCAGTTCTTTCAAACATGGTTTGATCTTAGATCTGCTTATCGACTTGTTCTAAGCAATTAGAGACATGTGAACTCATGATCAGCTAGACTGTCCATTGAGTTTGTCTCATTCTAACTACATCCCCCTATCAGACTACTGATTTCATCTATCCGAGTTGAGCATTACAAATCTCTTCAGATCAAACAGCTTTTTTTTCGTTTTCCACTTAACCTTATGAGAGATCAGGATCGAATGAAATCGAATAGATCTTATCAATCGTCTCAAATATCTTTTTGTTATACATCCATGTTGATCATTCTGCTATCTTCTCTTCATTTTCTCGGGTTTTGAATATTTTTATCAAACAATTCTTTTCAGAAAACCTCAAACACCTCTTATCTCAGTTGATAGCGAATGTAACCGTTATCAAGCTCGATTTCAAGATTCTTTTTAAAATAGATCTGTCTTAGAATGCCGGCGGACGTAGCACCGGGAACAACATATTTGCCTTCGGTTTGTTTTTCAGTTTTTTTCTCAATTCATTATATCTCTTTAATAGGTTGGGCTACTTTATATTTTCAACTTGATAGTTGGTACAGGTGCTTTAGCTCTGCCTAAAGCATTCCAAACTGCCGGATGGGGTTTGAGTATTGTTGTTCTAGCTGTTTCAGCTCTTATCAGGTGCTCATTTTTTTCAGCTGACCAAGATGACAGTTTTTCAGTTATGTCGCCGCTACTTTTGTTATTGAGGCTTTGTCTGTTGCAAATGCTGTCCATGCGAAGACAACCCGACGCTCCTCGACTACTGATTATGATGGTATGAAACATAGTTTAACGACTTGTTATCTTAGTTTGCTATAGATGTTTCCGTAAGTGAAGGAGGACCATCGTCCTTCGAGATCGTACAACGTTTCGAAGTGGTAACGATATAAGGCTTACAAGCTCTGCATTAAGCTTTTCAGAGTCAAATGGCTAGCATGTTCTTAGGTCCAAAAGCCGTTTTCTTCTCACATCTCTTCATGAATGTTTATTTATTTGGAGATTTGGCTATCTATTCCACAACTGTACCAAAGTCAGCAATGAACATTCTGTGGTCAGTTGTACATCGGTAGCTTCATTCACACCTCCGTTTTTATAGTTCGGGATTCAATGCGTCCCTTGTCACCTCTCAAGATCCATGTTGGGCACACTTTCCTCTCTTCTTCACCAGAATGAATGGTTCTCTTAACGACTTTATTTTGTTTTTCATCGGCTAGTTTTTCAGTTTATCGGATTTGTGTGATAGGCTTCATCATTGCTTGTTTACCTATGGTTCTTGCTGGAATTACGAAGACGAAGTATCTGCAATTGGCAACAACACTCTCGCGCTGGTCCGGTAGGGTTTTAATTGAGTAGAAAAGCTTTCACAATTTACCTTTACAGCTTTTATTCTTATGATTTGCCTTGCTACTTCTCAGCTAATCAGTGACGGCCCCGGAGGAAAGCCTCCTGCTGCTAACGTTCACGGATTTGGATCTCTCTTCGGATGTGCAGTTTATGCCTTCATGTGTCATCATAGTATTCCAGGACTTGTTACTCCTATGAGGTCAGTTTTCCTTTCTGCTTCACTTTAATGAAGATTTCGATTTAGCTCAAAAGCTGGAATTTTCGGGAAGCTCAGCATGATCTATATGGTAGTTTTAATGTTCTATTTCACCTTATCACTAACAGGTGCATTCACCTTCGAACATGTGCAGGTAATCATATTCAATCTTTGATCAAGAAGCCAAGTTTTATCTGTTTATTAGGATATTTACACTCTCAATTTCTGGCACGATGACTACACCTCAGCATTCTATCTTGTGATTGATTACTTCTTAGCCTTGTTTCCTGTTTTCACCCTCACAACTAATTATCCTATCGTTGCTATCACTTTAATTAATAATGTTAAAGTTGTGAAAGATATGTTCTATCCTCAGGGTAGTGGAAGGTTAGTTTCTATTGCTTCTTCTCTGCTCAAAACTTGTATTGCAGTACACTCTCTGAAGAAGAAACTTTGCTATCAGATGATGATGAAGTAGCTCCGAGACCACGTAGCTCTAGTCTTCGATCCGAAACTGTGAGTTTTAAGTTCTCGCAGACCAGACTTATTGACACCTCTCCAGAGAACTCCTTCGGATATCCTCATACCTCTGATTGTTATCGGTCTACCTACTTTGATTAGCTTAGCTACTGATAATGTTCTGCTCTTGGCTGCAGCAACTGGAAGTTATCCTGGTAAGTGTGCTAAATAGAATAAGTCTTCAGACGTTTTTCCAGGTGTTGGAGTTCAATTCATCATTCCATGCTTACTGGTGCTGAGTGCACGCAAAATAGCAAAGTCCCAATTGAATTTCCCCGTTCCTAAGAAGAACGCTAGTCCTTTCCAATCCGATGCATGGCCCATTTTTATGTTCCTCTGGGCAATATTTTCCATACTCATGGTGACTTTTAATTTGATTGGTGTGCAGTTTTAAGTTTTCGGGTTTTTTTTGTGCATTTTCCTGAGATTCTCTTTTACCGGTATCCAAGGCATTTAAATCTTTTCCTTTGTGCTCTTCTGGAGACCAAACAGTTATCCTCCCTCGTGTCACTGCCGTGGTGTGT